TCTATAGAATACATAAAATATATTATAAAAAAACCCCTAGTTATTCTTTCAATAAACAGTGCATGCATATCTTGAAAGCATTAAAACATTGCAGGGACAGAGAGTAGAGCAGAAATACAGGTATTTCAGGCATTGCAGTAGATAATCTTCATGTTTTTGTAAAACTTCTGTAAATGGTTTTAAAAAAACTTGTCAGACTTTCCAGAATGTGGCATTTGCTGATCTAATATTGGCAGTGCCCAATTTTTCTTTATTCTTTTAACCTGCCTGGTCATTTTTATGTGGAGGGCCTGTGTTTTTATAAGACAAACAAGTACACATAAATCGAGGGCAGTTGAAAACATTCAACTCAAAACAGGCTAGTGACAGAAGATTGGAAGTTATATCTGATTTTAAAGCTCCTAAATGTATAAAAAAAGAACTTTGCAGCATGATAAACACAGCTGAGCTGGGGACACTGACCGAGAAAGGCTAACAGCTCTATTAAATGGTTAAACTTGAATTCCATGCAAAGGGAAAGGAGAGCCAAATATCCATGGGTGCTGCTGAAATTCCTTCCCATTTATCCTTGGCCTGAACGGCCCCGTGCCCGGTAGCTGCCCATTAAATATCTCCTGGCAGGAAAAAGGGATTCACAGCAGGACTTCTGGGCACCCAGACCAGACTTGTTATTTGGGAATTTCTAAATAAAAAATAAAAAAAAAAAAATCCCAATGTCCATGGCTTCTCTGGAATCTGATGCAGACAGAGCCCTGTACATGCCCGTCCCAGCACGGGCACGGGCCGTTCTCTTCCCCGTCTCTCAGAAGCGTGCGACGCACCAAAGTCCAGACCGAGCACGCACCAGCTCACCTGGCTACGCTGCTACTTCATAGAGCAAACAATTTACAGGAACCTTAGACACCGGAATGGTGCATCACATATATTGACAGTTATTTATATTGAATATTTACTAACTGTATGTTATAAAATAGACTTAAAAATTATATAATATGTAATATGTAATATATAACATATATAACATATAACATGTAACAGATAGCATATAATATATAACATAGTATATAGTATACAGTATTATTTATATAGTATAAATTATATATAATACATTCAATATAGTTCTAACTTATACATTATGTATTACATCTAAATATATTACATATAACCATATTATAGATCTTCTTTTCACATATTATGTGTTATATATTATATATCATATACGTAGCTACATAGTGTTATAGTATATGGATTGACAATTCTATAGATTGGCAGATACCTATCGAAAAAAAACCACTGGGGAAAGAAAAAAACACCTTCAGGCAGCGTAAGTGTTTCTTAACCGTATTTCCCTGGACTTCATTGCACTTCATTCAATAAACCAGAAATAGCAATATAACAAATTTCTAGTTTAAATAAGCCAGAAATGGCTTCTTTAATATTATTTTATCATTTTTACTTAATATTATTTCTGGT